CTAGCACAGATAGAAGGCAAACAGCCTCTTTTGATGTCAACTTCGACGCTTAACTGCAGTATTCTCGCAGTGTCCTGTCTTAAAATCTACTTGAGTCTTTAGTTAGATCAGTTTCATAGAAGTCATGTTTATATTCCTTTTAAATTTCTTCAGAAAGCTTGGAATCCTTCATATGAAAGAAGCAATGACAGTTTGTGGGGTGTCAAAGTCCCAGTTAAAAATCCACATTTGCCTCAGATTTGCCTGTAAAAAGTGATTGCAGCCTCTAATTGGCAGTGATACCTCCTGTCATGGTGCTGTGCCAGCTGCGGTGTCCTTGAGGCCTTTTCCAGGCTATGCCTAGAGCGAATTGGCAACTAGCTCCCTTTAAACCCCTCTGACCAATGCCAAGGGAACACTGGCCTTCCAGAGAGCCTATACACAAAAAATACCCCTGCAGCAGCATAATCATTGCCAAGTGCATGCTGCTTACTTCTGGTTTGTTTGGGGTTTTTTTAAACTAGTTGCAGGATGAGTAGCACGCCCGCAGAGGTTATTACTGCATCACGGCCAAGCAGTAACACAGGAAGCCAACTCTGCACTTTCATTTGGCTTGAGCCAAGCTAACAGCATGCTGCAGCCCAAGAGGGGAGTATACAGTGATTTGATTGAAATCCTGAGAATGGCAGAAAGTGAACCTTGTATTAAAAAGTCACTAAAATTAATCAGTTGAACTGCATTTCAGGTGACGGGACGAGCATGAGAGCTAGTGTGAGAGGAGTGAGGTGATGAGCGCACCCCTGTTGCGCAGGGGAAAACTGCTAATCAGTTCCACTGTTACTGTTCACTTCATCTTCTGCCTCAACTTGAAAGACTTTAATCTTTGCAGCCGAAGTCACAAGCCCTTGCTTTAAACAGCGGAGCTACATAGTCTTTAGATTATGAGGAGGTAATCCAGGAGGCAGTAGGGAAGATAAAGGGGTGCAGCAAGGCTGTCTACAGAAGATACATTCTTGTTGATGCATGTTTTTATGACTTCGAAACCCTCAACATTGTTGAACCCACGTTTATCCTCTCAGAAAAAAGCCTCACTCTCAAAACCAGTGTCCAAAGCTCTGAAGGGGAAATAGGATCATAGAACCAAGCCAGTAGAAGCCCCTTTTCTAGCATTTGCTAAAAAGCTTGTAGCATTGATGCAGCTAGAGAGACCTTTGAGAGCCTAAAGCAGATGCTATGGTGGGGTAAGTCATGCTCCCTCAGAGTAGAGGTCTGTGCTCAGCCTGGCAGTGCTGTTCATTCACTGATTTTTTAAATGTCCGTGAGCTCCTTCTGAGGCCGGTATTTATTCCTTCTGGACCCAAGTGTTGGAGAGAGAGCCCTTCACTTTTCTTGCTTCTCTCAATTTGGGAGTTTTTGGTCAGAATTTTAAAAGCCAGCTGTTCAGACTGAATGCACAGCTGGGTGGAAATAAAATTGCCGGTGCAAACAGGAATTGTGGAAGAGGTGCAGTTTTTGAAGTTGACTAATTATTGCACTGGAAATAGTTTCATTAGCATTTAGACTGAAGTTAGCGAGTGCAGTGCTCGTTTGTAGGCAGGATCCAGAATCCTTGAATTAGGCCTATTAGAGCTCGATCCAAAATAACACTGAGGTGACGAGCTGGCTACTTCTGTCAAGTTTAGACAGGCCTAGATAAATCCATAGAGATGACACATCTATCACTTAAAAAGCAAATGTTTGTGACATCTAACAGCTTCTGTACACCTGATGATTTGTTGTTTGCACGTGAAAACCACCTATT